AGAAGAATTAAAGAACAAACAAACAGAGATGAACAATACAATAACTGAAATGAAAACTACACTAGAAGGAATCAACAGCAGAATAACTGAGGCAGAAGAACGGATAAGTGACCTGGAAGACAGAATGGTGGAATTCACTGCTGCAGAACAGAATAAAGAAAAAAGAATGAAAAGAAATGAAGACAGCCTAAGAGACCTCTGGGACAACATTAAACGCAGAAGCACTCACATTATAGGAGTCCCAGAAGGAGAAGAGAGAGAGAAAGGACCTGAGAAAATATATGAAGAGACTATAGTCGAAAACCTCCCTAACATGGGAAAGGAAATAGCCACCCAAGTCCAGGAAGCACAGAGAGTCCCATACAGGATAAATCCAAGGGTAAACACGCTGAGACACATAGTAATCAAACTGGCAAAAATTAAAGACACAGAAAAATTATTGAAAGCAGCAAGGGAAAAATGACAACATACAAGGGAACTCCCATAAGGTTAACAGCTGATTTCTCAGCAGAAACTCTACAAGCCAGAAGGCAGTAGCATGATACACTTAAAGTGATGAAAGGGAAAAACCTACAACCAAGGTTACTCTACCTGGCAAGGATCTCATTCAGATTCGATGGAGAAATCAAAACCTTTAGAGACAAGCAAAAGCTAAGAGAATTCAGCACTACTAAACCAGCGCTATAACAAATGTTAAAGGAACTTTTCTAAGTGGGAAACACAAAAGAAAAGGACTTACAAAAACAAAACAATTAAGAAAATGGTCATAGTAACATACATATTGATAATTACCTTAAACATGTATGGATTAAATGCTCCAACCAAAAGACACAGGCTTGCTGAATGGATACAAAATCAAGACCCATATATATGCTGTCTACAAGCGACCCACTTCAGACCTAGGGGCACATACAGACTGAAAGTGAGGGGATGGAAAAAGATATTCCATGCAAATGGAAATCAAAAGAAAGCTGGAGTAGCAATACTCATATCCAATAAAATAGACTTTAAAATAAAGAATGTTACAAGAGACAAGGAAGGACACGACATAATGATCAAGACATCAATCCAAGAAGAAGATAAAACAATTATAAATATATATGCACCCAACATAGGAGCACCTCAATACATAAGGCAACTACTAACAGCTATAAAAGAGGAAATCGACAGTAACACAATAATAGTGGGGGACTTTAACACCTCACTTACACCAATGGACAGATCATCCAAAATGAAAATAAATATGGAAAAGAAGCTTTAAATGACACAATAGACCAGATAGATTTAATTGATATTTATAGGACATTCCATCCAAAAACAGCAGATTACACTTTCTTCTCAAATGCGCATGGAACATTCTCCAGGATAGATCACATCTTGGGTCACAAATCAAGCCTCAGTAAATTTAAGAAAATTGAAATCATATCAAGCCATCTTTTCTGACCACTATGCTATGAGATTAGAAATCAATTACAGGGAAAAAAACGTAAAAAACACAAACACACACATGGAGGCTAAACAATGTGTTACTTAACAACCAAGAGATCACTGAAGAAATCAAAGAGGAAATCGAAAAATACCTAGAGACAAATGACGGTGAAAACACGACGATCCAAAACCTATGGGATGCAGCATAAGCAGTTCTAAGTGGGAAGTTTATAGCTATACAAGCCTACTTCAAGAAACAAGAAAAATCTCAAATAAACAATCTAAACTTACACCTAAAGGAACTAGAGAAAGAAGAACAAACAAAACCCAAAGTTAGCAGAAGGAAAGAAATCATAAAGATCAGAGCAGAAATAAATGAAATAGAAACAAAGAAAACAATAGCAAAGATCAATAAAACTAAAAGCTGGTTCTTTGAGAAGATAAACAGACTTGATAAACCATTAGCCAGACTCATCAAGAAAAAGAGGGAGAGGACTCAAATCAATAAAATTAGAAATGAAAAAGAAGTTACAACAGACACAGAAATACAAAACATCCTAAGAGACTACTACAAGCAACTCTATGCCAATAAAATGGACAACCTGGAAAAAATGGACAAATTCTTAGAAAGGTATAACCTTCCTTGACCGAACCAGGAAGAAATAGAAAATATGAACAGACCAATCACAAGTAATGAAATTGAAACTGTTATTTAAAATCTTCCAACACACAAAAGTCCAGGACCAGAGGGCTTCACAGGTGAATTCTATCAAACATTTAGAGAAGAGCTAACACCCATCCTTCTCAACTCCTCCAAAAAATTGCAGAGGAACACTCCCAAACTCATTCTATGAGGTCACCATCACCCTGATACCAAAACCAGACAAAAATACTACAAAAAAAAGAAAATTACAGACCAATATCACTGATGAATATAGGTGCAAAAATCCTCAACAAAATACTAGCAAACAGAATCCAACAACACATTGAAAGGATCATACACCATGATCAAGTGGGATTTATCCCAGGGATGCAAGGATTCTTCAATATATGCAAATCAATCAATGTGATACACCATATTATCAAATTGATGAATAAAAACCATATGATCAATTCAATAGATGCATAAAAAAAACTGGAGGGGATAAATGACAAGTTAGCAAAATTGTTAAAGCCTATATAGGGGCTTGTCATTTTACTTTATTTTAAATATGTTGATAATTTTTGTAATGAGTTTTTTTTTAACTAATTAATTCATTAATTTTTGGCTGCATTGTTGCTCGCAGGCTTTCTCTAGTTGCGGCGAGTGGGGGCAACTCTTTGTTGTGGTGCGCAAGCTTGTCATTGCGGTAGCTTCTCTTGTTGTGGAGCATGGGCTCTAGGCACGCTGGCTTCAGTAGTTGTGGCGCTCAGGCTTAGATGCTCCGCGGCATGTTGCATTTTCCCCAACCAGGGCTTGAACCCGTGTGCCCTGTGTTGGCAGGTGGATTCTTAACCACTGCGCAACCAGGGAAGCCCCATAATGAAAGCTTTTAAATAGGCATATATAAGAACATTGTTTCTCTCCTACATATATTATCTTAAATCAGTTATTGTTCCATGTATTAGAATGATTTCTGTTACAATGAACAGAAACCCCAATCACTCTGGTTTAAACAATAAGAGGAAACATATAGATTTATGTCGCTAAAAAGTCCTGGGCAATTCTAGGTGTCAGGTGATTCTTGATCCTACCGCTCAGTGGTGTCTCTAAAACCTGAGTATTTATCACTCTGCTCTGCCTTCTATGGTGTTAGTTTCATCCTAAGGTTCACATCTCTCCTATTTCAAGAAGACTGTCAACATCTGCTGGGTTACATATGTCATCCAGCAAGTGCTGGATCTGTTCTAGCATTTCCAACAAGACAGGCCACGTTATGCTGCAGAGAAGCACAGCACCAACATCCCAGTGATTTAACGCAACAAAAGTTTACTTCTTATTCCTACAGAGTCCATTATAGGTCTGGGAGACTCTCTGGAACAGATATCCCTCCACAATGCGGGGGGCTCGGCATTCCAGACTGTTCTGACTTGTGACCCCTCTCTCTGTATGTGCTTATATGACTGAGGCAGGAAAAGACAGCATTAGAGAGTCCTGCACCAAAAAATAAATGCTTAAGCTGAGAAGTGAGAGTTCTGCAGACAACCTACTGCTCAAAACTATCTCAGGATCCTGTGTAACTGCAAGGAGAAAAAAGTCTAACCACTCCCTTCTTACTGTTCACTAGGATACAAGCTCCATGAGGATATGCATTTTGTCTCCTTGTCCACTACTATATCCTTAGTTTAGAAGACTACCTGGGTACATAATAGGCCCTCATTAAATTGAATGAATGAATGTAATGTCAGCAAGAAATCCATATGTATAACTTGGGAGAAGAAACAGAGTCCCAGGGGTGTAAGGCTGAGACTGTTGGGTAAGATCTATGCAGACCAGAGCTGCAGAGCTGGGCGAGCTTAAAAAATAAGCACACTGGTATACTGGTACAGTTATCTTAGAGAAGAAAATGAAATCCTGCTGAAAGCGGCAGACCAAAACCTCAGGTGACTTACACCATAAAGCACTGAAGCCAAGGACCAAATCAACCGAGCAAACCACCACCACGAGTGCTCAGCTCCTGGAATGAGCTGCAACAGCCACAAATGCATCTGCTCCTTTAATGTAGTCAGTCCACCCAACATACCACTGGGGACCAGGGGAAAGGGAAGGACACGCACACTGACTGAGACCCTGCTATTTCCCAGGCCGATAGGTGCTTTTCCTTCATCAACCCCTCTAATCTCCAGAAAAACCCTGAGTTGAGTGTTATCTCTATTTCATATGGAAACTGGAGATTTAAGAGTGTTTCAGTAACCAATCAAGAAACAGGAATGTTTTACAAGCTAGAAATAGAAATAGACACAATACAATGTCATCCAGGCTGGCTGGGCAGGGACAACATACAGATCAGTCCTGCTAATCCTGCCCTCAGGCCTGACTGATGCAGCTAAGTGACAGCCAACAGACCCACTAGCTATGGGGTCTCAACAAGCCTCTGGATCTCTTATTTCCTTGTTTAACTCCTTTCCTGATTACACCTAGATGCTCTATCAGGAACACATCTGCATCACTGTTGTAGATAAAAGGTGGAGCTACAAGAAAATCCACAGCCTACAGAGATTTTCTGCAATCTATCAAATGTGTACACTAAGGCTGTTACATGATACGATGGAGAAAACAGAAGGATGACCCTTCCTGTTTAACAGTTACAGTGTAAGTCAACCAACACACATGTGTATTTGTCCGTCCTTGCCTACCACTCAGCATCCTCTCCCAAATCTTTGCTTTTGGGAACTGGTCTCCTGTTCACTGGATTCCCAGAGTAACATGCCCTGTGGCCCATAGGATCCTGGTGCAGTAAACACTCCAGTTCCCAGACAAATATAACCCTCTCCTTGTTCTTTTTTTTTTTTTGTGGTATGCGGGCCTCTCACTGTTGTGGCCTCTCCCGTTGTGGAGCACAGGCTCCGGACACGCAGGCTCAGCGGCCATGGCTCACGGGCCCAGCCGCTCTGCGGCATGTGAGATCTTCCCGGACCGGAGCACGAACCCGTGTCCCCCTGCATCGGCAGGCGGACTCTCATCCACTGCGCCACCAGGGAAGCCCTCCTTGTTCTTAATGACATACAAAAGCCAAGTTAAAATGCAAACAGATAAAAACCTGAGAAGGTGATCCTGAATTGCCATTAATTTCCATTTAGACCTTGGAAAAGTGCTCATTTTTATGGCTGTTTTATCCTATTGATATTGTGACATAAGTAAACAGTCTAGTTTCTTTTACTCGAGAAAATTCTTCTTTACATGGCTAAAGATTCCAACCCGTTTCCATATTATCTCCTTCTTAGAGGTGTTCTCCCTTTTCCATCCACCACCAGAGAGGCATACAATAGTGATTAGTTCACCTGGGCAGATTCCCTATTGGTGAAGTAAATATGATTTCATCACAGTAAAAACTGTACTAATAGTATTCCAGAGCTGAATTTGCTAAAAAGTTAAAAAAGGAACTCAAACAATGTCCAAATTTGTGAACAGTACCCGATGATGGGACAGTTAAGAAAATCCAATTTGGTTCTTCAAAAATTTTACATTAGAATTCATTTCTGCCCATGAGATTACTGAAATTGGTAAACCTGGAAGACAATGGTATGCAATTAAACATCATATTATTGCTTTCTGTTTTGGAAGACCATGCTACAAATGTTTCTAACATGCATGTTTAAGAGTGGCTGAGGAAATCAATGCAAACCAACAATATTCACCTCTGTGACCACAGAAGAATTCATGGCTGCATCCACTATTTGAAGCTGAATTTGCTATTCTGCCAAATACAGTCCCAAAACAGCTTTTCCCTTTACTCTGAATGTTCTTAGAACACCTCTCCTGCTAAGGAAATCCCTGAAAGTTTTAGTAAAAACAGCAAGTAGTACAACTAACACATTCCCTGCAGACTCAACCTTGATTCCTTCTGTGAAACATGTTTATTTCCCAAAGTTTCCTGATGAAAAATTCCACTGATGAAAAATTCTTCATGCTTCATAATTTTGTACTTTTCATAACTTTAAGGTCCAGCTCCACTTGGTGGATTTCTTCAGACTGAGGACACTGAACAAGCTTCCCTTTACTGGTGGAGTTTCTGGTGTCTAAGAAGGCTTGAGCGTCTGCTGAAGTTTCTCCTGCATGTGCTACAGGTATAAGGCTGCTCACCTGTGTGAGTTCTCCGGTGTTTAATAAGGTGGGAATTTTGACTGAATTTTTTTCCACATTCATGACATGTAAAGGGCTTCTCTCCAGTGTGAGTTCTTTGGTGTGTGTGGAGATTTGTATTTTGACTGAAGCTTTTCCCACACCACGAGCATTTATATGGTTTTATTCCTTGGTGTGTTGTTAAGTGCTTATTAAGATCTGAACTCCACCTAAACCTCTTATCACACTGCTGACATTTATATGGTTTCTCTTCAGTGTGAATTCTTTGGTGCTTAATAAGGTCAGAGCTAACTCTGAAGCTTTTCCCACATTCCTGGCATTTAAAAGGCTTCTCTCCTGCACGTTCTTTTTTGTGAAGATCCATAAGTTTCAGCAGCTCTTGTTTCCAGGTTGAAAGTTTCTTTTTTTTCTTCACTGGAAAATCTCGGTGCCATTTCCCCACCCTATGCATATCACCATGATTTTCTTTGCCCATTGTTTTCTGGGGGACTTTCAATCTGGCCTTTTTTGATGCTATATCTACTGGTACTTGTATTTCTAAGTCAGAAAGACATAGAGGCTGAAGATTTTCAGTGTCATTTTTGAGCTTTAGCCCTGCTGGAATAAACATAAGAAACAGCTAACTATATGACAGAGCAAGAAAGCCACAGTAATGAAGAGAAAAACTGGATGAACACTAATTTTTAAAAAAAACAGATAAGCAGAAGTGTAAAATGTTAAGCCCTTGTAAAAGTTCCTATTAAGGCACATTTCCTTTCTTCCCATGGTGTACTTACCTGTAGGCAACTCTCCAGAATTGTCCTTGAACTCCAGGGATCTTTGAACCCACGGCTCTTCCCCCTGCTCTAGACAGGAGATCACTTTAGGTTTGGGGAGCACAAATAATGCTGTGAAATGGAAAAACTGAGGTCAAGGATTGGTAACAACAATAGTCCACTAATTCCAGACTATATCAGGAAGAGCAAAGGATACTTTAACAGTTTGCAACACCAAATGGTTAAATGGATAGACTCATATCTGGTATCAGGTTCATAACATACTTCATTTGTGGGTGGATATACAAAGTAGAGAGTGAGAAATAAACCTAAGCTGGACCAATGAAAAGGATATAGGGCATGGGAATCCGGTGCATGATCCCCATCTTCTGCTACTAAGAATACCCCATATTCTACTAAGGTAGGACCAAACTGCAGAGGCTGTAGGAAATATACCTGGTCCTATTAAGTCTTTAGGAAGACTCATACTGGGTAAGGCCAGGTCTAGGGGAGTCAATGTGAAGGTCAGTGGGCTGGGTATCATAAACACAAGTGATTCCTGTTATACTATAGCAACTTTCAATTTAGATCTCAGGTACTAGACACTGGATCAGGAAAGATTTCTACATTCCCATAGCTCACTGGTTCACATCCAGGTGGAGGAAACAGACCAGAATTACTTAGTGGACTTTCTCTAAATCATATTGCCAAGTATGGAAAGTATTCATCACTCAGTCATTCAATACATATGTGCTGAGTGGCTATGGTGCACCAGACACCCTCTATGTGCTAAGGATACAGTGGTGAATAAGCCAAGCCCCCTGATCTCACAGAGCTTATCTTCTAGTGCAGAGTGAGACAATCTAACATTAATAAACAAGCAAATAAAGTGTCAGGGAGTGATAAATGTTTTGAAGAAAACTAAAGCAGGGTGAGAGAACATTTAAGATTCTGCTTGTGAAGATATTTTAGATAAGGCTGTATGAAAAGCCTCTTTTAGAAAGTGATATCTGAGCAGAACCCTAAAATGAGAATTTTACCATGTGGCAGAAACGTGGGCCAGGCAGAGGGAAGGGGAAAGAAATGAGCACATCAAGTCCATGAAACAGCAAGATGAGCAGTATGAACAAAGAGGCCAGAGCAAGGGCACGAGTAGTAGGACATGACAGCAGGCTGGTGAGGAGGGGCCAGATTTTGGAGGGTCCTGAGAGCCTTGGTAAGGAATTTGGATTTATTCTGAACCTTACGAGAAGTTATTGCAAGGTTTTGAAGCAGAAAATGTCATGATCTGATCAGGTTTTTAAAAGACTCTGGCTGCCATGTAGAAAACAGACTGAGAGGGCAGGAGTGGTGGCAGTGGGTGCCAGTTAGAAAGTATTGAGGTGGACCTTGATAGAGATGTTGCTGGCTGAGACCAGGATGCTAACGCAATAAGCTGAGACATGATCAGATTCAGGCTACACTGTGAAGGTGGAGCCAAGAGTGATGTATTAGACTTAGTGGGGTATTATGGCAAGATCAAGGTAAAGGATGACTGGATGTTTCTTGCTCTGAGCAAGTGGATGAGTGGGTATTCCTTTTACGGAGATGATAAGGGCGAGATGATAAGGGCAAGATATAAGGGCAAGTTTGAAGGGAAGAGGAGATCAAGAATTCCAAATAGTGTAAGGAATGTGTACTTGGAAAAAGCTCCCTGGTGATCTTTTCCCTGCCTACACCATCTAGTTGAGAACCAGTCAGCTACTAGAACAGAGACTCTCTCACAGGGGTGCATTCTCAGTACGCCAACAACAGGATAGATTAGTCCACTCCTATGTTAACGGAAGGGGAGAATCTTTACCTAGAGAGATGACAGTCTCATAGTTTTCTTGCATTACATCATTGTAGAGGGCCTTCTGAGTGGGATCCAGTAACTCCCATTCTTCCTTGGAAAAATACATGGCCACTTCTTCAAATGTCAACAATCTCTAAAGAAGAGAATGGGCTTTAGCTCAGGACTTGCCACTACAGAAGTAGCCCAACCTTCTGAGCCATCAACTGCATGGTAAGCCAGTCACTAAAGGAACTAACAGCACATGAATTTTTTTTAAGTGGGAAGGCAGAAAGGAAGTAGGCAAGGGATCAGCAAATAGCCTGGGAGGTGCCCAGTTCCTGAGGGGGATCATGTGGGTTAACACCTCTGTGCACCTGCTGGGCAGTGTGGGTCAAGGGCAGCAGGGAGAGGTAGCCCTAAGAAGCTGGAAAGCACAGCTCACCTGGGACTCAGGCAAGACGAGCTCAGGTGCCACTGTCCAGTCTTTGGCATTTGTCTGCTCAGGAAAGGCTAGGATCTGGTGAGCAGGCACCGCTGTAGAAGAGTGAGAGTGAATTTCTCTCCCTTCTGTCTTTGAACATCCTAGGCTCAGTTCTGAAATATAGAAGATCCTGATCTTTCAGTAGAAATGGAACACTTTACAAGTGTTATGTGGTACCTAGAAGTGGCTATCTCATTTTAAACAAGAATCAAGCATCTACTAGCCCCTAAGATGGGTTTCCCAGTTGACTCTCTTCAGTTTTCATGAGTGAAGTCAATAAAAGGAAGTCTTGTTTTTTTCCTTACATGACATGAATTCTCCTGAGTTGGACAAAAATTAGAGGTGTTGGAAAATGTAGTACTGAGTCCAGTGTGCCAAGTAAAGGAAATGCAAAGGAAGAAATGAGCTTGGTGAGTTCAAGAAACAGCAAGAAGGGTTTCCCTGGTAGCGCAGTGGTTAAGAATCTGCCTGCCAATGCAGGGGAGATGGGTTTGAGCCCTGTTACAGGAAGATCCGACATGCCATGGAGCAACTAAGCCCACGCGCCACAACTACTGAGCCTGTGCTCTAGAGCCCGCGAGCCACAACTACTGAGCCCATGCACCAGAACTACTGAAGCCCGCGGGCCTAGAGCCTGGGCTCTGCAACGAGAAGCCACAGCAATGAGAAGCCCACGCACTGCAGTGAAGAGTAGTCCCCACTCGCAGCAACTAGAGAAAGCCCGCATGCAGCAATGAAGACCCAACACAGCCAAAAACGAACAAATAAATAAATTTATATATTAAAAAAAAAAGAAGACCAGTGTGGCTAAAGAGGACTGAGCAGGGCAGGAATGGCAGGAGATGAGGGCAGGAAGGTGAGGAGGGGCCAGAATTTGGGGGGTCCTGGGTGCCTCTACAAGGAGTTTGGATTCATTCTGAATGTGTGAAAAGTCACAGTAAGGTTTTGATGCAGAGAAGTGTCCTGATATGATCCAGTTTTTAAAAGATTCTGGCTGTGCTGTGTGGAAAACAGCCTGCAGGAGGGGAGGAATGGTGGCGGGGGGTGCCAGATAGAAAGTACTGAGGTGGACCTTGTTAGAGATGCCACTGGCTTACACCAAGATGCTAAAGCACAGCAGGCTGAGACTTGGTTGGACTCAGGCTACACGGTGAAGGTGGAGCCAAGGGGACTAGTGACGCAGTAATACTACTGGGGTTTGATAAGATCGGTGTAAAGGATGACCAAGTTTTCTGGGTTAAAATATTGGGTGAATCGTGGTGTCCTTTGTGGAGATGGGAAAGTTAAGAGAAGAGCAATCTGGAGGGAAAGAAGGCAGGAAGGATCAAGATTTAGGATAAGGAATGATCATGTGCACTGGGAGAAAGCTCCCTGGTGTTCTGGATATACCTTTTCCCTGCCCACACCATCTAGTTGAGAACCAGTCAGCTACTAGAACAGAGACTCTCTCACAGGGGTGCATTCTCAGTACGCCAACAACAGGACAGATTACTCCACTCCTATGCAAAGGGAAGGGAAGAATCTTTACCTAGAGAGATGACAGTCTTATAGTTTTCTTGCATTACATCATTGTAGAGGGCCTTCTGAGTAGGATCCAGTAACTCCCATTCTTCTTGGGAAAAATACATGGCCACTTCTTCAAATGTCAACAAGCTCTAGAGAAGAAAATGGGCTTTAGCTCAGTACCTGCCACTTCAAAAGCAGCCCAACCTTCTGAGCCATCAACTGCATGGTAAGCCAGTCACAAAAGGAACTAACAGCATTTGATTTTTAAAAAGTGAGAAGGCAGAAAGGAAGGAGGCAAGGGATCAACTAACAAGTGCCCAAAATCGTGGGGAACATCTGGACTAACAGCTCTGAACACCTGCTGGGGAGCGCGGGTCAAGGGCAGCAGGGAAAGGCAGCCCTAAGAAGCTGGAAAGCACAGCTCACCTGGGACTCAGACAAGATGAGCTCAGGTGCCACTGTCCAGTCTTTGCTGTTTGTCTGCTCAGGAAAGGCTAGGATCCGGTGAGCAGACACCGCTGTGGGTGAAGGAGAGCCACAGGAAATCTCTCTCGCTTCTGTTTCTGAATATCCTAGGCTCATTTCTAAAATACAGAAGACCTTGAGTTTTTCAGTATTGATGAGACACCTTTACAAGTGTATGGTGCCCAGAAATGGCCTTCTCCTTGTTAATGAGAACCAAGTATCTACCAGCCTCTAAACAGATTCGCCAGTTTTCATAAGCAAAATTAACAAAAGGAAAAACCCTTTTTATTTTCCTCTCATGACACAAATTGTTCAGAGTTAGACAAAGCTTGAACATATTTGAAAATGACATACTCAGGGACTCCAGTATACAGTAGGAGATTTTAATCATTTATCATTTCTTTCCTGGTACACAATTTTCTTCACATTCCGCCACTGACAACAGATTTCTCATTCCAATTCCTTCTGTATTTTATGAGGACAAGGTGGGCCCAACCCTCTCCACTTTTCTAAAAAACTGAGTTCCAATCGCTTCTCGGCCTTTTGGCTAAGATCAAGTGTAAAAAACTGAGTTCCCAGTGTTATTAACAGGGTTCTGTGGTTTGGAGATTTCTGTATCTTAGGCCAACCCCCACCTTCAACCACACCTGGTCTGCTCTACCATAACCTGGGGGGCATTCTAATTGCTAACGTGGCTGCATTAGTAGATCCACAGGGCAGGGCAACCAGAAAGTGCTCACGTGTTCTGGCTTAAATTACTATCGCAGCTCCCAAGAGAAGGAAAGTAACATGAAGCTCCTTACCCCTCTCACATACGGGCTCAATTTCTTTGTGGGTATTCCTGATCAGCAGCTCTTGTAGACTCTGGTGTGTATCCCAAAATTCTTCATCCTGGGACATGCCCACTTGCTGGGCCTCTGCTGGCTTCCGCTTGAAGCCTGGGGCCTCTGCTGTTTCTCCCAAGAGCACTGCGTCCTTTCCCAGCTCATGCTCTGCAACCTAGAAATAATGCCCATCCTTGTTACCATGGAACTTACTTTTCGTTTGGGAGTTGGTGGGAGAGGGAGGAAAAAGCAGAGTGCAAACTGTGGGAAGAAGGAGACACTAAAGGAAATGTCACAAAGACTTAAAAGAGATACGAGACCACCAGTTTTCCACAAGAACTATACACAAAATATAAGAATATTGGCAGAAGAGGAAAAAAGGTGTGGTTACTGCCAGCCCTCCAAGACAGCAGCCCCCACCCTCTGCATCCAGCTCAGCTCAGACCACTAACAGGGCTGCCCAGGCCACCTGTTCTCATGCTGCCTTGACAGACTTTCTCTCCCAACTTAGATTCTTGCCTTAGTGGTTTTCTGTCTTCTCTCTCAAAAGATAAAGGAATTGAATTTAAAAGTTGTCTGTCAACCAGATTTTCCACATGGCCACCAGGGAAGAGTCTCACAGAGGATTGGGATGAAACGGAGAAAAATGTGGGAGGAAAGAACCAGGGCTCTGAGCTTCCCTGATGGCGCAGTGGTTAAGAATCCGCCTGCCAATGCAGGGGACATGGATTTGAGCCCTGGTCCAGGAAGATCCCACATGCCAGACAGCAACAAAGCCTGTGCGCCACAACTACTGAGCCTGGGCTCTAGAGCCCAAGAGCCACAACTACTGAAGCCCGCGCACCTAAAGCCCGTGCTCCGCAACAAGAGACGCCACCGCAATGAGAAGCCCGCGCACCGCAACGAAGAGTACCTCCCGCTCACCACAACTAGAGAAAGCCCACACACAGCAACGAAGACCCGATGCTGCCAAAAGTAAATTAAAAAACAAAAGAGGGTCAGGGCTCCAACCTATCCTCAAGTAATTTTGACACAAAACGTGTGCCCTCCCGGTATTCTCAGTAGGCCTGTGAAGCTAGCTGGTATGCTGCCACCTGCCCAAGGGCATGCCCTGGATCCCCGCTCACAGCACAGCCAAGGAACAACCACTGAGGGAAGGCAGTGGAGGCCCTTGTCTATGGTACAGAGGACACTATCCCTCACGCTCTTTCTTCTCTCAGCTACTCTGTTGGGATTTCCAAATCTCTTTCCCTGTTTTCTTTCTACTTTTTCTCTTCCTGGGCAGTCTTCCTCTAGTTGTTTGGTTTCTCCTTCTTTCCTATCTTCACTCTTCTTTGGTCTCTAGGAATTCCTCCTTTTCTGGATCTGTCCCTTCCTCTCCAACTCCTTATTGCCTTTTGTTTGTTTCTAAGAACTTGAGGCCCATCTCCTTCGCCAAGCCAGACTAGGCTCATTACCCTCAACACACCCTGGCTCCAAAGAGGGCAAAAAGCAACTCTCTCCCTAAGGCCAGGGAAGCCTCTCTCAGGATCTCTGAATCATATGCACTGACTATGGCTGTGGATCTGTGCTTTTACATTCTGCTTTACATGTCCTAAAGGGACAACAGAAGTTACCTATTTCACTTTATTTCTCAATTAATTGCCCCAATACATCCACCATCACCCTATTTCACTGTATACAACAGGAATCTTTCTTCTCACCCCATTCCTCTTTTGACCAGATTCCCTCTGCAAGTGTTCTACCAGGACCACAGCCTCCTCAATGCTCTGTAGATGGTGCTTCTTTATGCAGGTCTGGGTGTCCCTGGGCAGAATGGACAGGAACTGCTCTAGCACCACAAGTTCCAAGATCTGCTCTTTTGAATGAATCTCTGGCCTCAACCACTGACGGCATAATTCCAGAAGCTGGTCAACAGCCTCCCGGGGTCCAGCTGCTTCATGATAGAGGAAGCTCCGGAAGTGCTGGTGAGACCTCTCAGGACTGGGACTGTCCGTTTGGGGGGCATATTTCTTATGCCGACTGGAGCTCTCTGTCACAGGTCCCTTGGTCTCCCACAGAGTCCTGATCTGAGGGTTCAAGTACTCAGCCACCTTCAGATCTATGGTCATCATTCTTCTCGAGGAACAATTCTGCTCCTGTATTGGACACACCTCCAGCACTACCTCTGAAAACTGAGGCCCAGTCTGGTCTGGAACAAAATCAATAAAAGGATCTTCTTCCTAAGGCATTGAGGGCAGAAAAAAGTGCATGTCAGTAAGAAAGTCACATGAACTTTACTACTTGTTACTTATTATGAGAGAAACATGAACTTTAAAAATCAACTGCCAAAAAAACCCAAATCAACTGCCAGGCCCTTGTTTCTCTCATTTTCTTTCTATTATTCAGCTGAATACAGCACAGCTTATTAAAGACAAATGCCAATAAACCACTTTGCCTTAAAAAAAAAAAAATCAGGAATAGTTGGTGGGTGAAAAAACTAGTACCCACTGGCTCCAAGGGGTTCGGGGATTATCCAAAGATTTAATTGATGCACTTCCTATGCCATCCTCTCCGTGTAAAGGAAAGATCAGGAGAATATTCTGAGTTTCTCTTAAACTTCAACATATCGTCCTAGTCTGTCTTCAGTAAGAGGGTACAACTTCTATGACCTTTGTCCTTTTGGGAAGATGGAAGCCTTCACTTCCTGGAACATTTGAGGTGCTCCTTTCCATTGTATGAAAACTGGCAGGAGAGCTGAAACAATGAGACCAGAGTAGAAGAAAAGTAAATCAGAAAAATGGAGCCTTATTCTTCTCAAAAGCAACCCCCAATTAAATAACTAGTTGCTCTACATTTGTCTTGGCATTTCTTTGCAAGACATATAAAGAGCACCATGCAGAAGATGTATACCTGTGTATTTTTCCTTTCCTTTCCAAATTCACTTATTTATGTATGTATGTATGTATGGCTGTGTTGGGTCTTCGCTGCTGCGCATGGGCTTTCTCTAGTTGCAACGACTGGGGCCACGCCCCATTGAGGAGCATAGGCTCTAGGCGCTCCGGCTTCAGTAGCTGTGGCTCGCGGGTTCAGCAGTTGTGGCTCGCAGTCCCCAGAGCGCAGGCTCAGCATTTGTGCCCACGGGCTTAGCTGCTCCGCCGCACGTGGGATCCTCCTGAACGAGGGCTAGAACTGTGTCCCCTGCATTGGCAGGCTGATTCCCAACCACTGCGCCACGAGGTAAGTCCTATACCTGTATTTTTAATTTCTCGTTACTTGACCTAGGAAAAATTACAGCTGATCCTTGTTCACAAAATGTTTATCCAAATGTCAATTGGAAGAAAAAGGACAGCATGTTAGTTGGTCATGATTACATTCAGCTGCTACATTTCTCCAGGGCTCATTTACACCTCTAAGCGAGGCTGAGGACAGCCTCGTGAGGCTCACTTTCCCTGAGGTGATCCAGCAGAAAGGGCACCGAAATTCTGCCCAGGAAGCCACGGTGTTCACAAACGGCCGGCTCCCGACGGCTCTGAGGTGCTGGGGACACTTCCCAGGCTTTTGCATCAGAGGAAGCTGATCTGACTGAGGCTGGACCGCCCGTTTCTCCCGCAGTAACATCAGCCAGTAAAGGAAACGCCGGCGGAGGCGGGAAAGTGAACACGACCGCCCGGGCGCGCCCGCGAGCACTGTACCTGCGGGCAGTGTCCGAGCGGGGTCCCGCCGCGCGGCCCTGGGCGCCACCCGCACAAACGTTGGAGAAAGCGGCCTCACGAGCCTGACGGCGGGCCTCGCCCCAGACAGTCCTGTTGCCCGTCTCGGAAACACCACCGGCCGCTGTGCAGCGGCCCCAAGCAGCGGCCGCAGTCTCTCGGAGGCTCCGGGGCCGGCGCCGAAGCGGAAGCCGCTTCTAGGTTACCTCGGACGGCTTGGCTTCGTGAAGGCCGCTCCCTCTTCCCGGGGCTCTACCACAAGTTGCCGCCGGCCCGGCCACCGCTCTAAGGAAGACAGTTCCACGCCACGCGCCACTCAGGGGCGGGCCCCCGAGGCCCCGGGGTTTGGGAGCGCAGGCCGCGCACTATTTAGACCCACCTGGTTCCCCCCTACCCGACCTAAAATCCTCCCTGCGCTACTAGCTACCCGCGCTCCAACCGGAGGCAGAAGTGACGCACTTCCGGGGAGGACCCGCTCAGCCCCGGCTGGGTCCGTGAGCGCTGCTGCTCCAGGCCGACCTGGGTGACCGGCCTCCTCCCGGGTTCAGCCCTGGCGGCAAGAAAGAGTTAAGGCCACCGAGTCCCCAGGCCCGCCCAGCCTAGAGGGCCCTGCGCTCGGCTTGGCGCCCTTGTGTCGCCGTCTCGCGTCCCAGCTCTGTGGGGCGCGTGCGTCCAGGTCGTTCCTGTGTCGTGTTCGGGCTGCCGGCGGAGCCTGGTGACCCAGGCCCCGCCCTGAGGGTCACCGTTCCCTTCCGTGCGCTGGGCCCCCGACCTTACCGCGGCTCAGCCGGCCGTGCCCGAGCTGCCGGCCAGGGCCCTGTCGCAGCCTCCTACAGTACGAGGCCGTTTTGTCCCGGTCAGGATCGACGGCCCCTGAGGGGTGTGTACTCATTTCTGGGCCGTGCGTGCACACACGATTCTGTTTTTTCTTGTGAGGTAGGTTTTTACTTGTGAAATAGGTTCCTTTTATAGATCTCCTTGACAGAGAATTGAGAGATAAGGAGTGACTTGATCGAGGTCACATAATTCACCAGTGGCAGGTCCTCCAGTGGAATTTAGGTCCCCTTTGTCCTGTCTTCTGCTTTTTCCACCACAGCGTGCTCCCTGGAGCATGGGAACCTTCTTTTCATCTTGTCCTATAGTGTCTGGTAGAGTTGCCTGGGTAAGGTAGGCATTCTATAAATATTTACTGAATCATATTTATAAGAATCTGAGTATTTCGGTTGTTGGCTTCCAGTATTTCCAGTTGTCAGTGTTTTCATAGTGTCAGCCTATACTAGTCAAGGGATTATTTATTAAGTCTACTATGTGTAGCCAGTGTTATAGAGTCGATAGGACAGAGCCTTTGATTCAAGGGATCTGGCAAAAGGACTGAGGCAATTTCACAAATATCAGCAACACAAGGTAGGAAAGGGTAAGACATAAGCTGAACGCCGTGGGAATTACAAGGAAATGAAAGTCGATTTGGGGGTTGGGGAAAATTATAAAAATCCTTGAGGGATTTGCCCACAGCAGGGAGTGGGGCCACATTCCAGGCAGAGGGTAAGGTAAGAGCAAAGCCTTGAAAGCTTCAGAGATGAGCATGTGAGAAAATCTGTAGTATTTTTTTTTACTAAATGTAATTCGGGTACCTTTAGAGAAAGAGAGTTAGAAAATAAGTTCTTGTGGATCTACTGTGGAGCGCTTGGAATAGAAGTGAAGAGATTGCATTTAATAAAGTAAATAAAGAGCATCATTTGAGGGTTTTTGAGGGAGCTTCTTTCCAGGGCAGTTCATCTGGAGCTGAGTTTAAGGTGGGAACAAAAATGCAAGACCATTACAAGGTCATTATGCTATTTTTGCTTTTAGGTAGACTGGTGTTACACTCCTCTGAGGCATAGATCTTGATCCTTTTTGAGGGGGAGAAAAGGATTAAGCAGAGGTGATAATAATAAGCATCTGACGGGAATTCCCTGGCGGTCCAGTGATTAGGGCTCTGTGCTTCCACTTCAGGGGGCACTGGTTCTGTCCGCCAGGGAACTAAGATCCCACAAGCTGCGCAGCGCAGACAAAAAAAAAAAAAAAAAAGCATCTGCCTAAGTTGCTTGAATATATTTCAAAGCAGGTTCATTTTCTTAGAATCTCAGGTTGGGACTTAGTTTCTTCAAAAGTAACTACTGCTTCCACAACCTAAGTGTCCATCGACAGATGAATGGATAAAGAAGATGTGGCACATGTATATGATGGAATATTACTCAGCCATAAAAAGGAACGAAATTGATTTATTTGTAGTGAGGTGGATGGACCTAGAGTCTGTCATACAGAGTGAAGTAAGTCAGAAAGAGAAAAATAAATACTGTATGCTAACACATATATATGGAATCTAAAAAAAAAAAAGCAGTGGTTTTGAAGAACCTACGGGCAGGACAGTAATAAAGACGTAGAGAATGGACTTGAGGACACGGGGAGGGGGAAGGGTAAGCTAGGATGAAGTGAGAGAGTGGCATGGACTTATATAAACTACAAAATGTAAAATAGATAGCTACTGGGAAGCAGCGCATAGCTCAGGGAGAAGGGAGATCAGCTTGGTGCTCTGTGATCACCTAGAGGGGTGGGATAGGGAGGGTGGGAGAGAGACACAAGAGGGAGGAAATATGGGGATATATGTATATGTATAGCTGATTCACTTTGTTATAAAGCAGAAACACCATTGTAAAGCAATTATACTCCAATAAAGATGTTAAAAATAAATAAAAATAAAATAAAATTAGACTATGCAGGAATAAAGAATTATATGTGATAAAAAAAAAAAAAAGTAACTACTGCTTCCAGTCAGAACCAGTGGGCAGTAAAGCTCTTAGCATTGAGATCCTCATCATCTGGACCAAGGCTGAGCATATAATTGGAACTTGAACTGAATAAATGGAGTTCTGCCAGCGGTGCCCCTGAATTGGCAGGCCTGATTCATAACATAGGTAGGGAGCTGGTTAGTGAACAAGGGGAGAAGAAAGTGGGAAAAGAGACCCTATGAAAGGAAGAAGAGGAAACAAGGCACAAAATGGCGAATTGTGAATGAGGGTCACTGATGATTGTCATCATTTAAAGTTTGGTGCCATAGTTCCTTACCCTTGCTGTGGAGCCCACAAAAGTCCCCCAAGTCTTTCCTTTTGATTTCACCTTTCCCTGCCTGGGCACAGTTTGAGAAATAATGAATGTCCAGCTGGAAAGCAATGAAAGCAAACACATGCAGTTTATTTTGAGATACCACACAAGTGCCATAGTGGGCTGAATGGTTTTGCTGGGTGACTGGCTGCTTTAATGGTGTTGCTACTGGCTAATAAACACTTTCTTTTTCCTTTTTCCATTTATAATAGTAATTGCCTTAGTTAGAGCTGCCTCTTTTAGAAGGTTGCTTGATCCTAGCCTGTCATTGGCTCCATACCCTATTAACTATCGTACTTTCATGATCCTCTTAGTACTCTGTAAAGCAGTTGACATTTTTTGCAACAAATGTTAGAGGAAAACTAATGGTCTGGACCCTTCTGGGTTTCTAGGTGAGAGGCTTTTGAGAATTCTGTGTAGTTGAGAAATGAATGAAAGTCACTCAGGCTCTGCCCTAAAGGAGAGGAAAAATAAACTGAAATACCATTTTTCTCATTTCTCTGACATACTTTTCTTTCTTCATAGCACCTGGAATGGATAAAAGTGGCAGTTTTTGTTACTTCCCATGAGGTTGTGTATCTGGAATAAGAACCATGAAATTAATCTAGAGTAGGACATTTCTACAGACATGGAATGGCACTGGGTGGCACCAGGAGGACTTGAAAGGGTGCAGAGCTATAGAAGAGTTTGCCAACAGAAGGACTTATGGGAAACAAGTGATCAGAATCACCAATAGAGAAACCTTTAAAATTTCTTCAAGCAATGGAAAAATTGAGTCTTAGGTCAAATTAAGAAAAATCTATAATGAAGAGAAATCAGGTAAAGTCTCAAATATAAAAAGTATGTTACTTAAGACTAAGTGTAAATTTAGGAAAAGAATCACAAGGACAGATCTTTTTAATACTTTTTTAACTACTGTAAAATTTTTATAAAACTTTTGGACTCATCTCTAAGAATTGCCATGATTCTGAAACTTGATTATATCCCAAATATGGAACAATTCAGTGGAAAATAACACTTGAGAATACACCAGATGTACACAAGGAAGAAGATCTGAGAGTGGAAAAGTGCCAGTAACAAATACATTATTTATATACTTACAGATTACCTTGGTAAACATAAGAAACACTGAAGTTAAAGCTTAGTCTTTGAGAATGCTGTATTGAATGCAGTAAAAGTTGGATTTCATTCATATGGACAACAGAACCTACTAACTTTCTTCTTCACTGAAAGATACAACTGTTCCTGAATTCTAACTCTCTAGACATCCCACTGTCAGGGTAGCTTGGAGTATTTATCCAGGTGGATGGACTGCTGCCCAGCGAACACTACATGCAGAGCAATATGAGCACCATTTTCCTTTCTGGCAGTGAGGTAAAATCAGCTTGTCTTGGAAGAGGAGAAGCCACACTGCATCTTTGTTACACAATATTATTCTGTCCTTGCCTTTAAGGCTTTCACACTCCTTTGTGAAGCACCACTTTTTATTGAGATTTATCTTACCTGAGTCTGTCCCTCTTGTGAGCACATCTCACCTCCTCTCTTCCTTTTGTGTCTTTTCCTGTAATCAGTTAGGGAGAGTATGCAGGTATTCCTGTTATTCCTGACTGGTGCTGCTGCATCTGTCAAGGGAGAGAAGAAAGAGCATTCAGAAGGGGGGTTCTGAAGACTGACCATCCATGTCTTGCAGGAGCAACAACTAGACCGGACCTTGCAGTGGCAACTTTCTGAGTTCAGACTTTACCTCTAGACTAGCATTTCAATCATGAGCCCTTATCCTTTTTAGCCCATTACCCTTCAGTATAAATTCCTATGCCTTCTGGGGGGCGTTGTGCTAGTTGGGGGAATGAGGAGTTGTTTCGTTTTTAATTTTTTTTTCCAATTCAGTAATGCTTTTTCCTTTTTACCCCTGTTGATTGCCTGAAACCAAATTCAGTATGAATAAGAGAGGGAAATATACAACACTGAATTTGGAGGAGAAAATGAAGGTTCTAAGTAGGATTGAAGCAGGACGATCTCTTAAAAGTGTAATGGATGAATTTGGAATCAGTAAATCAACATTTTATGACATTAAAAAGAACAAGAAATTGATTTTGGACTTTGTACTGAAGCAGGACATGCCATTAGTAGGGGCTGAGAAGAGAAAGAGAACAACAGGAGCCAAATACGGTGACGTGGATGATGCAGTCTACATGTGGTACCAACAGAAACGCTCAGCTGGTATCCCTGTGAGAGGTGTGGAGCTTCAGGCTGCTGCCGAGAGATTTGCACAGTGTTTTGGGCGAACAGACTTCAAAGCTAGCACTGGTTGGCTTTTTAGATTTCGAAATAGGCATGCAATTGGGAACCGAAAAGTATGTGGGGAACAAGTCCTACGTTCAGCTTCAGAAAATGTTGAGCCGTTTCGACAAAAACTGTCCATGCTTATTAAAGAGGAGAAACTGTGTCTTGCTCAGCTGTACAGTGGGGATGAGACTGACCTCTTTTGGAAGTCAATGCCAGAAAATACTCAGGCAAGCAGAAAAGATATCTGCCTGCCAGGGAGGAAAATAAACAAAGAACAATTGTCTGCTCTTTTATGTGCAAATGCGGATGGTACTCATAAGTTAAAGTCAATTATTATTGGAAAATCAAAGCTGCCCAGAAGTGTAAAAGAGGACACATGTACATTACCTGTGATATACAAACCTAGTAAAGATGTTTGGTTCACCAGAGAATCATTTTCAGAATGGTTTTTTCAAAACTTTGTTCCTGAGGTCAAGCACTTTCAAGTTAATGTTCTAAGATTCCATGAGGAGGATGTCAGGGCCTTGTTACTTCTGGACAATTCTCCAGTTCACCATTCCACTGAATCACTAACCAGTGAGGATGGTCGAATAAAATGCATGTTCTTTCCCCATGACACTTCAACCTTGATTCAACCAATGAATCAGGGTGTGATCTTGAGCTGCAAACGACTTTACAGGTGGAAGCAACTTGAGGAGAGTCTTGTAATTTTTGAAGAAAGTGATGATGAGCAAGATAAAGGAGAAAAAGGAGTTTCCAAGATTAAAATCTACAACATAAAAAGTGCAATTTTTAACTGGGCAAAGAGTTGGGATGAAGTAAAACAAATAACCATAGCAAATGCATGGGAAAATCTTCTTTACAAAAAGGAACCTGAATATGATCTTCAAGGCTTAGAAGATGGAGATTATAGAGAAATTCTTGAGAAATATGGGGAGTTGGAAACCAAGCTGGATAACGATAGGGTGTGGTTAAATGGGGATGAAGAAAAGGGCAGCTCCCCGAAAACAAAAGGTGGAATTATAAAGGAAGTTGTTCAAAAAGCGAGAGCTGAGGAGCAGACTGCTGAATTTAAGTTATCTGCTGTAAGAAAGAGTTTGGACTACCTTCTTGACTTTGTTGATGCAACACCTGAGTTTCAAAGGTTCCATTTTACACTGAAAGAGATGCAACAAGAAATAATCAAGAAGCAGTTCCAGAGTAGAATCCATTCTAGAATTGGTAGCTTTTTGAAATGTAGGCCTCATAATATTAAGGATTCCTTCAATATGCCTTCAACTTCTGGTTGTAGTAAGTAGATATTGTGTTTAAAGATTTCTGCAGTTATGTAATGATACATGAATTAGACTTGTTGTGAACTGTCATTGTTTTTATCAACTGACCTCACTTTGCACAGCAATGCCCATTTATACTGTTTATAAAATACACGATTTGAAGGTAATAAATTTGGGGCTTTTGATGTATAAATATGTTCATTAATCTATATTTTTTTCTATTTTAGACAAGGACTTGAATAATGAGGAACTATTGTCCCAGATTATCTAAGGTGAAATGGATGTGGGGAAAGCATTAAAGTCTAAATGTATTCACAGCATATAACAAAGAAGCTATATATATGCTGACTAGTTATTTAAGAAGATAAGGACAGACTTGGTTTTCAATTTAATGGTATGACATACTCTGCTCTTGTAAATGAGTTACCACCTGTTTAGTGTTTGTTTTCTTCTTATTGTGGAAGTGACATATGCTGATTATAAAAAAGATTTATAAGAAAGATAAAAAGCACCCAAATTCTCTCAACTGATGATAGGCTCCCTTAACACTTTGGTATATTTCATGTATTTTAAAAAATAGGTAAGTTACATTGTAAATACAATTTTATATCTTATTGTCTTAGCATTTTTGTTACTTATAAAATTAGCATTTGTGAACTACAATGAGGTATCACCTCACACTGGTCAGAATGGCCATCATCAAAAAATCTACAAACAATAAATGCTGGAGAGGTGTGGAGAAAAGGCAACCCTTTTGCACTGTTGGTGGGAATGTAAATTGATACGGCCACTATGGAGAACAGTATGAAGGTTCCTTAAAAAACTAAAAATAGAACTACCATACGACCCAGCAATCCCACTACTGGGCATATACCCTGAGAAAACCATAATTCAAAGAGTCATGTACCACAATGTTCATTGCAGCTCTATTTACAATAGCCAGGAAATGGAAGCAACCTAAGTGTCCATCAACAGATGAATGGATAAAGAAGATGTGGGGACTTCCCTGGTGGCACAGTGGTTGAGTCCGCCTGCTGATGCAGGGGACACGGGTTCGTGCCCCGGTGCGGGAAGACCCCACATGCCGCGGAGCGGCTGGGCCCGTGAGCCATGGCTGCTGAGCCTGCGCGTCCGGAGACTGTGCTCCACAACGGGAGAGGCCACAACAGTGAGAGGCCCGCGTACCGCAAAAAAAAAAAAAAAAAAAAAAAAAGAAGATGTGGCACATATATACAATGGAATATTACTCAGCCATACAAATTGAGTTATTTGTAGTGAGGTGGATGGACCTAGAGGCTGTCATACAGAGTGAAGTTAAGTCAGAAAGAGAAAAACAAATACCGTATGCTAACACATATATAAGGAATCTAAAAAAAAAAAAAAGGTTCTGAAGAACCTAGGGGCAGGACAGGAATAGAGACACAGACTTAGAGGATGGACTTGAGGACACAGGGAGTGGGAAGGGTAAGCTGGGATGAAGTGAGAGAGTAACTGACATACATACACTACCAAATGTAAAATAGATAGCTAGTGGGAAGCAGCTGCATAGCACAGGGAGATCAGCTCGTGCTTTGTGACCACCTAGAGGGGTGGGATAGGGAGGGTGTGAGGGAGACATAAAAGGGAGGAAATATGGGGATATATGTGTATGTATAGCTGATTCACTTTGTTATAAAGCAGAAATTAGCACCATTGGGAAGCAATTACACTCCAATAAAGATGTTTAAAAAAAAAAAAGCATTTGTGGAGCAAGCCTAGCGTAGAATGGATTGTGGAAGAAGTTGAGGGGGAATGTCATATGATCATACTGGACAGCACTCTACTTCAATGCATTAAACATCTGTTTTTCCCCCAATGGTCATAAAGTCCCAGAATAAATGACTGGCAGTCACACCCTTTTCAAAAGTATTCATCGAGGGAGTTCCCTGGTGGCCCAGTGGTTAGGATTCCAGGTTTTCACTGCCGGTCCGGGGTTCAATCCCTGGTTGGGGAACTGATACTCCGCAAGCTTCGTGGCACAGCAAAAAAAAAAAAAAAGTATTCATTGATTTTGCACATTTCACGTTGCTAGGCACAGAGTGTGGTGTTGGGCGTTTAGAATTACAAAGAAAAGGAAGAGGAACAAACCAGCGTTGGATGTGTGAGAGCTGAGTACAGAGAGGGCTTTGCGAGTGCTTGGGTGGTAGGGGACATATCTGAGCCGGGCAAGTGTGACTTCTGAGCTGGCCTTTACAGTGTGGGGGGAAAGAGGGAGAAGAGCAGTCCGGGCAAAGGGGAGCGTCTGCACAGGCTGTTCGGTGTGAGAGTGCATCTCCCCTCGGAAGCGGCAAGATCCATGGATGGGTGCTGTACGGCCCGCTAGCAGAGAAGAGGAGCAAAGACAAATAAGGGGCAGATTTTCAGTGCCATTGGAGGTCATCCTAAGATTTTAGACTTCGGGCTGCACCCACGTAAAGTCCTGTCGGCTCTACGTCCTGAAGGTCTCACCTCGTGTCCACTTCTCCCTCCTCACTGCTCGTTTCCTGGTCCAGGCGGCATCACTCTCTGCACCTGTCTCCTTAGTCTCCCGCTCTTTCTCGTCTTCTCCCATCCGTTCCCCGCCCTGTAGCCAGACAGAGCTAACACAAAATTGAAGAGGTGCCTCGCGTGCTTAAGAGCTTTCGTGGGCTTCTAGGCCCGCCCTTCCCCGACCGTGAGACGCCACTTCCCACTTGCCCACCCCCGCCCAGCTCTGTGCTCGCCGCCTGAGGGAACACTAGGGCGGGCCCAGACGCCCGGCCCCGCTGTCGGCCCCGGGTTAGCGCGCGCACCTGCAACCAGGGAAGTTTCGGGGAGTATTGTCGCGCCGCTGGTAACCGCTCGTAACCTCCTGGGTGGGAGGAGAGGGAAACCCTTCGCCGCGCCGCCCTGCCCAACCGCCGGAGTCGTAGCCCGCAGGCGGCGCAAGACCAGGTCTCGCCGGGGAGGGGCGGGGCCTGCGCGGAGGCGGGGCCTGAGGAGGGGGCGCGCCCCGGCGCAGCCGTGGAGCGCGTGCCCGCGGGCCCCCGGGTGCGGTGGGAGCGTAGGTTCCCCGGGACTGCGGGCGGAGGGCGGCCTTGAAGGGAGACGCTGCGGGTGCGTGCGGCCGGGGCGAGGCGGCTGCCGAGCGCCACCAACCCCTAGCCGTTGCTCCTCCCGGGCCGGCTTGGGAGCCGTCCTCCATGGGACCAGCCGGTGGGGCACGCGGGCGGTTCTAGGGGCGCAGCGCCCTGTCCCAGATGCCGCCGGAAGCTAAGCTGAGGGACGCGCAGACTCGTTGGCTTTGCCCAAGCCTGAGAAAGGACTGAAGTTTTGGGTTCTGGAAATCATTCCTGAAGATGAAAGCTGCTCGGAGAAACCCAGGCACCTCGCTCTTGTACCAGTGGCTGGGGCAGGATTCCCAAACTTAACCTGGACCCCCTGCCAAGAGGACGAGAAATCCCCTCAAGAGCAGCTTCACCCTCTGAGTGGGGAACCACACCCAGGATTCAGAACGTTTTCCTGCCTAGAGGGAAAGTGGGGATGGAGAGGCAAACACAATTCCTCGTTATGTCCAAAACACACCCTAGGATTTCAGAAACTTCTTAGTATTTTCTTTTCCCATCCTTTCTGCCTGAAGAAATCTCACTATCTCCCTGAAGCAGCTTTGGATCCTGGTGAGTCACCAGTTTTGATTTCTTAACAGAAGCTTCTGGGACATTCAGGGTGTCTCAGTGATGAATTGAGGACATTAACTGGAAGGTTTGTCAGAAATGGGGCGGGGGCTGTGCCATTTTTCATTAACCATTTTGTCATTGTTGAATTCACCTAGACCATTACTTCTGCCTCCTAACTGCGTTATTGAGACCTGTTAAGTTCTTTCATTACTGCAGTAAAAATTCTTAAAAGTTATTTCTGATAGCTTTCCCCGGAAAAAACTAAACAACTTGGTACTGTTTTAACACTTCCTCTGGTCTCTGGCGTTAAGGGGCTTTGTCCCCATTGATGTCAGGCCTGCTGCTTTTAGTCTGCCTCTGCCAGGCTTCTGCTTACATGTGGTACTGATTCTCCACCCAGGAGCCTTTCTGCTGGTCTCATGTGCTACCTTTGCTACAAGGGTGTGTGGCTATTGCTCAGGGTCAGTCCACATCTCCCAGTTCTCCTTTGTACCCATTTGGACTGAAGGGGCAGGGGTCTTTATTGCCCCCAGCATTAGTCTCCCTTTGACGAAAAAGCCTGTTGGAATCTGTTCTGGTTTCTTTTTCAAGAGGACTAGTGGGGTAAAAATAATAATGTAAAACATATGTGTGTAGTGTAAAAGTATATATACTAGGCCCTCCCTTGCAGTGCCTTCGTGGGACCCTTTAGTAAGGGCCTCTGACCCGCTTTCTGAAATATGACTATAACGATGAAGTCATCAATCCTGACTCAATAGTAGACTGCTCCCCAGAATTCCTGCCAGCGTGGTCTTTTTTTTTTTTTGGCTGTGCCACATGGCTTGTAGGATCTTAGTTCCCCAACCAAGGACTGAACCCAGGCCAACTTGCCAGTGAAAGCGCCAAGTCCTAACCACTGGACCACCAGGAAATTCCCCAGTGTGGTCTTACATTGCTCTTACTACCAGGTACTTAAGAAGAAAGGCATGGTGGTGTGCTGAATTGGGCAATTGGGATTGACATGTATACGCTGATGTGTATAAAATTGATAACTAGTAAGAACCTGCAGTATAAAACAAACAAACAAAAAACTAAAAAAAAAAAAAGGCGGGCTTCCCTGGTGGCGCAGTGCTTGAGAGTCCGCCTGCCGATGCAGGGGACACGGGTTCGTGCCCCGGTCCAGGAAGATCCCACATGCTGCGGAGCAGCTGGGGCCGTGAGCTATGGCTGCTGAGCCTGCGCATTGGGAGCCTGTGCTCTGCAACGGGAGAGGCCACAACAGTGAGAGGCCCGCGTACCGCAAAAAAAAAAAAAAAGGCAATTTGCCAGTTTTATCTACCCCCAGGTGGCACAAATAGATGAGTATTTTCTATGTGCCAGGCTCTGTGCTAAGTGTTTTACATGCAATATTTTGTGACATCACCTCATGAAAACAAGGCCGAGAAGAGCTCTGCATGTTAAGTTTGTTAGAAGGGGAGTTAGACTGGGGACTGGGTGAAGTCTACGATTGGAAAGCCTTCTTAGTGCCAGGAGTGAACACCTGGGGGTCCTCTTGCTCTGGCTCAAACTGTAGTACTCCAAGTAGGAGCAATGCCAGTTAGACCACATCCTAAGATCTGTATGGATAGTATTATGGGGGATGAGGGATAAGGATATGAAGGGGAGGGGTGCTTTCTATTCTCATGAGGTTTACAATCCACATAAGTTGCCATCTTAACCAGAGTGCTTACTAACGTCAACTTTACACCACCACCCACTTCATGGTATTGGCAGCCACAGCAGCCCTGTCCTGCTCCTACCACTGTCCATTCCACATTAATCTCTTTCAAATCCTCATCTCCCTTCCCTGACCCCCAAGACCCGCACTACCACTGCCCTTTTGAGGGTAAGAGAATGGTACAGAAATGAGAAACAGATATAAGCAAGGGTGGGGGGCATGCAGGGTTATTTCCTTTACTTAAAGGTGCTATATTTAATAG